GGATCCACGATTTTTGTTAAAGTGGCTGACCTTTTTTTTAAAAAAAGTCCATCGAAATTTTGCTTCTTATCTTCAGAAATGTTGATTTCATCATTTTCATGTACTTGTTGCTCGACTAATTTTTTTTAAAGAATGTTAATAAAAAAATTCTCACCAGTTGTATCTTGCAATAATTTTTCAATATTCTGTGCATTTATATCATCCAACCCTGTTTTGTTAGCTATCTTGACAGTTTCATTGCATCAACAGTCAATTCTCTTGTGTCAGTGTCCTTCCTTTATAGAGTCATTAGGTTTAGAGGCACGCTAGGGAAGCAGAAAAGATGAAAAATATGCAACCACCTTCGCCGGCAATCAAACCATGGACCTCTGGAATACCAGCCCAGCGTGCTACCTTACACCACGAAGGCACGCTAGGGAAGTGAGAGAAATACCTTATACAGTCAAAAGTCGTTAATTTGGACACCCATAATTCGGAATGATCTATAATCCGGACATCAAAACTAAAAACTTTCTGCGCATGCGCCGCATTGACACATGCGCATAGGCGTTTACGCGTGCGTGTAAGACCTTTTACGACTGCGCATATGAGTGTGCGCAAGTGCAGAATACGTTTTCGCGTGCGTTTTATGTATAATGGACGTATAAGCTAAAATTATCTAATTATCTATTTCAGTTAATGTTGATGATTGCGTTGTTCCTTAATTTTCGAATTGGATCCGGTTTATTATTTTTTGCAGACTGTAAGAGCAACTTTATAAAAGTAAGCTTAAACTTTCGATTATATCAAATAGAATTTCCGATATATATTTGTTAATATGTAAAGCATCTAAAGCGAAAGTATGTTTTGAAATCTGAAATCTGTTTATCAATTTCACGCTGCTCGGCGGGCACGTAATGAATTGGAAGTTGATTTGTCAGCACTATCCTTATCTTCAGCGCAGATGTTTTTATTTGGCTTATAATTCCTTACCAAATGTAGTATTTCATCTCAATATGCTCCGTCTTTGATATGATTTAAAACAAGTTAATCGTCATTATAATTCGCTTCCGATAGCGAAGAAAAGTAACAGAGGTTATTGAAAACGAAAAAATTTTCGATTGACAAATTAGTCGTTGTTCTTGACACAGCAATTATAGGACTTGAACAGCGGAACTTTGTAACTGAACAAGAAATTATGTCTGTTTAATATAATTAAAGAGAAAGTATTATCACATGAAACGAAGCAAAACTTAAACAACTTACATTAAAAGAAATGTTTAATAAAGTAAACAAATAAATATTAAGCTTTTTCTTTTTGCAAATTTTGATACCCTTTAGATCATAATTGTTCTTTATTTCATAAATTACGGTTTCATATTTTTAATTTTAGAATTTCTGCATGACATCTTACGAGATTTAAACTGATGATCTATAATCCGGAAAAATCGATAATCCGGAATCGCCGAAGTCCCGACGAGTCTGGATTAACGACTTTTGACTGTATACCCCTTTTTAAAGGGCGACTAGGGTTTTAGGGGACCTAGTCGCCAAATCCTGGGTGCAGAGAATCATCACCCACAACCTTTTTAGTTCGAGCGCCATTTGTAGAGTCATTAGGTTTATTGGAAGCAGAAAAGATGAAAAATATGCAACCACGGACCTCTGGAACCTGGATTCTTCACCGGGAATCGAACCACGGACCTCTGGAATACCGGCCCAGCATTTTTTGTTACACTGCAAAGGCATGCTAGGGAAGTGAGAGAAATACCTTATACCTTATCTCTGGTCATGCATTCTTCATGCTCTTTTCAAACATTTCTCAGTCACCTTATTCCAGGAAAGTTTGATGTTGTGTACAATATCCATGATACTCTTTTTTTTCCAAAAGTCTGTAATGGATTGTTTATCTCCATTGGTTCTATCAATCAGTTGTCAGAATGTCCACCGCATAAATTACGCATTAAAATTTGAAATTATTCAGTGATCTGTTGGTTGGATTAACAAAGTTGTACTTAACAGAAAGAAAACCACGTCTACTAGAATGGATGCTGTTAAACCTTTGCGACACAGTGTGCCCGGCCTGGACACACCTAAAAATTTCCTTCTGTAGGCACAGAAAAATTGAATGAAAAGGATTTATAGGTTACTATAGGTTACTCTGAACCTTCTTTATTTATAGTAGATGGCAGCTCAACACAAACCAGTCCATATGTTTTAGCCATGTCCCTCATTTTTCAAAGAAATCTTCCAGATTTTGTTTAATGTATAAAAGGAATTGTTTGAAAAGGAATTTCTATGTTATTTTTTTATCTGTATGCTAATCTCCTTATTCTATATTAGTGTTAAATTTTAACTTGAAATCTTGCCTAAAATCAAACGGCGAACCCTAGGTGTGCTCAGACTGGGATCACCGATAATCTAGGACAACTGAGTGTCTGTATTTTTTATTTCTCCACATCTCATCGGTTAGTTCATTGACAACAATGCTTGTTTCAGTACTCTTTTCGAAACTCTATTCAATTAGTGTGTCCACTTTGAGCACACCCACAAAATTAAAACGATAAGTGCTATCTTCACAAATCTTTACTTGTGTACTCCTCTAGGCCTAATTAGACTGCCTACTTTTTTTTTTTTTTTGTTACAAAACTCCAACTTTAAAAGGTAGTGTGCCAGAAAGGGTTAAGTTGAATAAATGCATTGCGTAGCTTGGAGCATTACCGATCAAAAGTCAAGCTCTTAGTTCTAATTTTTTAAATATACACTAGTGTTTAACAGACAGGCAAAAACGTCGAGTAAACCAGTTCTCAAAAATTTTTATAGTGATTCTAAACCTTTTATTGGACTCCCAAATTACTTTTAAAGATGATTTTTTAAATTCCCTTCAATGCTGTTTTGGTTTTGAAATTATAAATGAACAGTGGTTTTTAATTTAAAGTCTAAAGTTGAACTGTGTTTTCATCAAACAGATTACCTACCTCACCTGAGAAATTTAAATAAAAAAAAAATCTGTGAGGAAATAATATCCTAGTGAGTAATTTTCCAATCTAGTGACATATCATGGCGTCTCAAATCTCTTGATGTAACTGTATATGATTTTTTTTTCTGGTTGGATCACATTAAGGTTAAGTTGTACCATAGTTTACCTGCCACACCTGAGAAATTTAAATAAAAAGAAAAAAAAAAAAAAATGGGTGAAGAAATAATATCCTTGATTCTTTTTAACAAGTTTAATCAAGTTAGGTTGGATGTTCTTTGACAACTGGAAAAAATTTTCATGAAAGAGATGCTTCGTTTGTTAGGTGTCTTCATCGAGACAGAAACTAAGCTATCTCTTTAATGTTATGTGTATATATGTGTAATGACATCATCTGTACTTTTCGCCTTGACTGAGTATCAGTTTACCCTAGTAGTTTTTAATTTGAGACATCCGACATGGTGCTTTTTTATTTGCAACTTTTTTTGAGAATCAGACTTTATAAAATGTTATTTTTATTATAAAAATTGGGTTGCAAATTCCTTTTCATTATTTGATACTCCTAAACCGGAAGTAAACGTTTAAATTGGAAAAAAAAAAAAAAAAAGGTGTCAAATTTTTGTACAAAAAATAAAATTATTGCAGTATGTAAAGACAAAAGTAAGTTTGGAAAATTGTCGAAACAAATCAATCCTGTGGGAAAAATACAAAATGTATACTCCTGAAAGTGTATTTCATCAATCATTTTATTATGTGTTGGGTTTATTACTTTCATCAACAAATCTACTGTTTGCATAATGTTAGTTCTATTCATCATCACTGCATGATTAAATGAACAGTAGTATTATTTTAACATCACCCTTATCATCATGAAGTTTGAGTTACTGATGAATTTTAAGTGTGAACATATTCATGCCACACAAAAAATTCATATATTCTGATTACCCACACTCCCACTAAAATGTCATAAACTTGTTGGCAACTTTGAAGAGCATTTGTGAACTGTTGGTGATTAATTTTTTTCCCAAGCTGATGTGACAAAAACAGAGCCATTTTCAGAATGGTACCTCATTAAGAATTCCATAAAAGAGCAAGCAATCTATAAAATTTAAAAAGCAAGAAACATTAGTAATAAAACTTCTCTTTTCAAGGTGTGTTTTATTACTAATCTTTTTTGGAATAAGTATAATTTTTTTAGCTTTTGTTCCCGTGTACACAAAAATCTCTTTTCACTTAGAAAACCCCAGAGAATTGCACAAATTCGGCATTATGCACAACTTCGCATTTTGAACCTGTTGTTGGCAAGTGCAGAATGAAGCAAATATTTGTTGTTAACAGAATATGCCTGTCTTCAAACCAATTTCTGACTCACATTCTATCCCTTTTTCTTGCTGTTTTTCACACTGCATTTTTATAAATATAGTCATTTAACAATTAAGCTTCAGCCAATATAAGTTTTTGCTTTCTTTATTGTTCCATTCTGCAGAAATGCAATGCTTTCTTTTTAATCAGCCAGCAAACTCCACATTCCTATTATGATTCTCTATGAGAAAATCAATATAATCAATGCAAAATTGAAGCACTTCTCAGAAAAATGATCAGGAAAAGTGCAAATGCATGTAAACAGGCATGTGGTTGCATATCTGGGTTCCTACTTAAATACTTTTTTGGCAACAGTGTGGGTCACCACATAACTATTTTGGTGATATATTATTGCATTGCTTGATGAGTGCTTTTTCATGACTTCTTGGTAGGAGTACAGTTAATGAAAAAAAACCTAATCAGTATTTTTACTTTGACTTATGTTTTATTCCAAGTATATTTGCATGCCATAAAATCATGTTACTTTTACTAGCTACTGGATCTAGAGTTCTCTAGGTTGATAGCATCATGTCATAAACAGATATGCAATTTGTGTTAGTCATATGAGATCATACATTTAATTTATGGCAGTGTAAAACTTAAATTATACTGAGCCTCTTTTGCCAATAATAGTTTGGTATTGATTATTTTTTTAAAAATTTTTTTTATAATTCTTTTACAGAACCCTCTCGACGTTTAAAGCAAAACAGAAAGAAATCTCCGAAGCAGTACCATAATGATGATCAGTTGAATTTTGAGCGAACAGAATGTGCGGACAATACTATCCCATGCTCTGTAAAGCCATTGTCTGTGCATATCTGCTCGTAACGTATTTTTATTGCTCATGAAGAAAGAAAAGTTAGAATGAGCAAATGTGACTTCTTGGAGTTATTCTATCACCTTAAGTACAAGAATTCTCATTGTTGTGCATATCATGTTTTTTGTGTGTTTGTGTAATTTATTGTCATCGTATTATTCCTATTACACATACCTCATGATTTGCATACTGCATTTTTTTCATCATTATTCGTCATCCTGTAAGCCCATTCTGCCAATAAGTACAATTTTTAAAGATTTTAAAATTGCTGTTTTTCCTTTATTGTATATTGCAAAAATTGTCTGTTCTGTTTTGTGTTCTGTATAGATGTGTGCACTTTGCTGCATTTTAAAATTTTGTCCTATTTATGAAATCCGTCAGACAGTGTAATTTCATAAGTACTTAACTGTTGATTTCTTCATAATTTGTGAAGTAATAATGGGCAGTTATGTATGTGGAATTTATAAGTACAAAGTGTTTTATTTTTGGTATATTATTAATTATTTATTTGGTAATGCAGGTAATTGCTTTTAGAAATGTTTTTTTAACAGCTTAAAATTTATAGCAATAAATATCTACTGATATTTGTATTTCAGTAATTAAAATAAGTAGTACTGAGGCTAATATTGTTTTTATATATTTTAATAGTGGGTTAGTACTTTGATGAAGTGTTGCTCATGAAAATGAGTGTATAGATAAGACGAAGGACATCTCAAACACAATAGAAAGCCTTATTCCCAGTAAATTTCCCTTGTAGTTTTTAATTGTGTTAGTACATATATAGAAAAAGCAAGTACAACAAAGAGTACAATGAAATGTGCAAATGGTACAAATTCTCCAAAATTTGCACAGTTTATATATAGCTATTCTGCGAATTTTTTTAAGTGTGTTGTATTTTTTACATTTTTCTCTGTATAAATATAATGACCATATTTATCACAAAAAATAACTATAGATTTGCATAATTTTGTTTTGTTTTCTTTGCTCAAATGGTCATTTTCGTCTAAGTTATTCATATAGTTAATTATTTTCACTCATTTTGTATGATATTCTCGAATAATAAGATTAGTGTCGTAAAGTTTTCTATGTTTGCAATATGTTAATAGATAAGCTTCATGAAAATGTATACATATAAAATTTATCAAACGAAATAGATTATGTATATATATATATAAATAGATTATGTATTATACATATATTATATATATACATATATAAGCCAATTAATGTGCTGAGCAATGAGCATATTTGTAGTAGAAGATTACAAAATGCTTTAAATTTAATAGATGCGTTATCATTTGTGTGCCATGAATTTTCAGAAAATAAGCCTTTATGATTAATACCACAATGGGAAAGTTAGTTCAGTTTTAAGCACTTAAGTGCACATTATTATTTAGAACAAATATTTATTACAAATTGTAAATATGCTTCGTGTTTCAATATAAATAATGAAAAAGTATAACCAAAAAACCAAAAGTATTGGGAAAAATTCTTGAAGGAACTGAAGTTTTTCTCAAAATCTTAGTTTCCTTGAATTTGATGGAAGATTTATCTAATATAGTGTTAGCTCTTCATTTGATGGTAGTAGGGTTGAAGTGTTATTTTTAATTGATATTCTGTGTTAGCAATTTGAAGAAAGTTTTCTCAATTAAAATATTTTCAGTGAATCATTACAAATATTGGCTAATAATTAGAATCGAGTAAAAAATTTTTCATAAGTAGATAACCTACTTTTTAAATGAAATATTCTTAATTAGAAGTAAGTTCTATAATAAAAAATTGGGTTTTCACGTTTTCAGTGAATCGTTTCTAGTATTTGTAAGTTGTTAGAAATCAAATGAGTAAAAAGTCTTTCATATTCATGAAATACATAAATCTTAAAAATCGGTCTCATTCTAAATAGAGAATCTATTTATAAAATTAAATATTTTCAATTAAACAACAAATGTAATAAAAATAATATTTACATTTTGTTAAAATTGCTGATGTTTTACTTGCTTGTTATTTTCACGTATTCTAAATATTTTGTGTAGTAAATAAAATTTTTGTTAATGGTAAAAATAAATAAATAAAAAAATAGGAAGTATTATTAATTGCTAAAACGTTCCTAAATGGATAGAATCTGAAGTCTACAGAGCCATGAAAAAAGTGTTAAATAAACAGCTATCAGTTTCAGAGCATAACTATTCCTTTCCCATTAACTTGCTTAAAAAAAAAAAAAAAAAAAAAAATCATGTCCCACATAATTTTTTAATCTGTATTAGTATTTACATACATTTCACCATAGCTTTAGGTCACTAAAAACTTTCCTTTTGATAATATTAGTCAAAATTTCATTAAAAACTTCATAAATTTCTCTTCATATTCTAAAATGTGCAGTTAAAATAAATACATAATGTAAAGAACTTAAATTAGTCACAATATGTTTTAAAATAAAAGAATTGTATTGAGATATTCCTAATCCTAAAAAAGCAGGAATACTTGTGATGAAGACTAAGAAAATATGTATGTGATATAATATTTTAGTAGTGATAAATTGATTCAGTTTAGATGGAAAGACATCCAATAACTTTAAAGTACCCCTTGTTTATCAGTTGGAATTACTGAAATAAGTTAAAGAAAGTGAAGACTAGTGTAAGGAATGCCATATTTTGTAAAAATTTGTCTTTTCACTTTCATTATAGAACTTTTTTTCAGAGCAGAAATGCACAGTATCCCAAAAAAGGGAGGGAATTAATTGTCCTTTAAAGCTGACAGTATAAACTTTCAGTTTACTTGTAAAACTGATTGTTCTTAAAACTGACAGTATAAACTTTCAGTACCACATTTATGTGATGAGTGAATAATCTGAAGTTACATTATATTAATGGTATTAAAAAAGCTAAAATTAAATGTTATTCTGACTCCTGCAAAAGAATATTACTTTATTCAAGAGATCCCCATCTCAAAGGAGTCCTCTATATTTCACTAGGGAGAAGTGTCCTATGTGAATACTGATTATGAAGTTAATAATTTTGAGACAGGTATTTTTGAATTTTCTCTGAATTGAAAAAATAAATAAATAAATAAATAAACTTTTTTCAAATATAACATGATATTGCAGACTAGCAATGTTATGTTTTAGCACATTTTTAAGAATATATTTTAATTCTTAACATAACTTATTGAATGTCTGGGAATTGATTGTTCTAAAATAAATTTTTTTATACCAGTTCAGATACATAATTTGAACAATATAACCACTGAGTTATCATAATATATGGCTGATATCTTAATTTATTAAGAATTAGAAGTAAAATTTCAAAAAGATATTTCTGTGTTGTATATTTTTCAAGTATTCATTCATATTTTGGAATTCTTGGCAAAGAAAGTAATTAGTATTATGCTTGGTGTTTAAAAAAGATTGTGCAACTAGTTGTGTACTGAATGGTTGATCAGCTTCAGTTTCAGAATCAAATTACATAAAGTCTGCTTTCAAACTATTAGAACTTTATGATGCCTTTTAATGCGAATATATGAAATTAAAATTTTTATATAGGCCTTCTTTGAAAGACGTTAATGTTTTTAACTGTCCTTATCCTGCTAAAGTTATTTTTATAAAAATTGGTATGTAATATGAAAAAATTATTATCATGGTATGTTTTAAATGACTTTTACCTTGAGAAATAAATGTGATTTAAGAGCTGTATAAAATTAAATTTGAAATTTTAGCCTTCTTATAAATGATAATTTAAAATTAATGTTGCTGAATTAATGTCTTCTGAACACGAAAAAAAGCCTTTCAGAAGTTAGCATTTGTAAACATAATATGCAAGCTTTTCATAACAGTATTTGTATGTGGCCCTCAAGAATTTTAATCAATGTTATCTGTGTTTCTCCTCCTTCAGCATATTCTACAGTGGAAAATATTTTGTTCAATCACTTTTTGACATTAGAAACATCGTTAGTGGAGACTTCCCAAAGTTTTTGGAATATTATATTATATTTACATTATGCTGCCATATATTTAACATCACTTGCTTTGACAAGTGTTGTCTCTACAATAATATTGCACTCTTCTAATGATTAAAAAACCTGTGACAGACCAATGACTTAATGTTCTAAGCAGTCACTGATGTCTGGAAGTTCTGTTTCAAAATGTCTATCAGTTTGATTAACTGTCTATCTAAATTTACTGCCTCATATTACCGTAGATACATGGATTGGTTACCAGTATGTGATGGGCAGTGGTGACAGATCGCTTTAGATTAAGGGACCTTTAACTTAATTTTAAAAATGTACTGAAATTTACGGCATAATTTTACATTAGTGAGCCATAGGTTGATCATCAGTGACCGACTGGTTGACCACTAGTGACAACTAAACTGCTGAAAGAAGTGAGCAGCAACCTTGATGGGCCCTGATTGCTTTGATTTAATTTTAATTTAAAAATCGTCTTAAATGTACTGCAATATCCCACATCCTTGATCTACAAGTAGCCTATCAACCAGTAGATTGTAGGTCACCAATAGCCACCCTGATGTTGGTGACACTGGTTGCTGCTTTGTCGAACCTTTGTTTAAATCCTGGAGAAGGCCTGAATGTTTGTGTGGCATGAGGCTACTCAAAATGCTGATGAGCTGAAAGTCCTCTCGAGTGGTTTGGTGCCAGGGGAAAAGGGGTAGAGTCGTTTATTCATCCCTCATGATGCTGTCCCTTAAAATTCTGGTGAAATTGTTCTGCTGGGGTACTATATCTTGTACTATGTCTTTGAAAAAATTCTTGGATCCTCCCCACTTGTAGGTCGTCAGGGAAGCCTTGAGAGACCCTGATGTTCTTTAGTTTAATTTTTAGTTCAAAACTTTATTGCTCTGCTGTATGTGCACTGGTGATCCACTGATTGGATTGATCACTCTGTCTATGTAGATTATCTAACTAATAGCCTTGGTGCATACTTGCACTCAAGTATGCACCAACTTCTAGGTGGTCTACATGTAGCTTAATTTTAATAAAAAAAAATATTTGATTTCATTGCAGCACAGCATATTGTTGCAAATGATTTAGAACCTGTAGATCATTGGGGACCAACAGCTTTGATGAATGCAGGTGCTCATTGATTTAATTTAAAGTATTATGTAAATGTATAGCAGCGCCTACATTTGTGACCAGTTAACAGACTGATGATGGCTGTCAGCATGTAGGTCACTGGCAACGATGCTCTTGATGGTTACCTTCATTTTTTTAATAATCGACTTAGATGATATAGTTTTAAGTGCATATGATATATCCAGTTGGTTATTTTAATTGTTAAATATGTTTATAGTGCCATATATTCTGAACCTGATAAAACCTCTATAAAAATTTAAGTTCAATTTATTTTTATCAAAGGACATTACATAGCCAATATGTTGTAGTTTGAAAACCTACCATATTTGATTCTTTTTTTAAACTGGACTTAAGATCTGTGAGCTACTATTTAAAAGATATTTAATAGTGTAATCTTTTTTAAAACACCTTGTGTGCTACACTAAGCTCCTAAAAACTGCTTATTTTTCACAAAAAATTATTATGCTTTATAAGTAGATAACTTAAAAATAATATTTCAATAAAATGTATTTTGGGAATAGGAGCAGTGGAAGACATTGCAACAACCCTTTTAAGCTGTTATTTAGTATTAGTTCTATATAATAGTAATCCAGGCATCTGTTTTTCCTTCTTCAAAAAAAGTGGAAATGACAGTTTTATGTTGTGATGTTAACTTAAATATATGTACTGCGAGAATACATTGTTTATAAATTGAAAGTCAACTGCATTTATATTGGTTTGAAAATAGATGTACATTTTAAAGTTTCTTTTAATAGTTGGAATATTTGCATCAAGTATCACTGATGCATTTAAAAGTTGCAAAACTTAATATTCTAAAAAGTAATTAATAAGATGAACTTTAATCATGTTGTTACACAGATTGCTCAGCACTGATATTGGAGCTTAAAATATGTGACTGTAAATTCACCTTGACATCCATATATATCAATGGTAATCGATTTAATATGCTGTATTACTATTTTTAGAACTTAAAATTAACAGGTTCTTATATTGCTAATAATTTTATATTCACCACATCACTATTCATAGTAGCATAAAGAGCTGTTACTCATGATAGCTATAATTGCTTGTTTGCAGTAGTTCATAAGCAGCTCAGTTGTACAAAATTTCTCTGCCGTACATAATCTGTTTTCAACAATGGCCTTTTTATCAGATATATTTAAAATATACTAGTCAAGGAAATCTAAAAAAATAGTTATTATTCTTTTTAATATATAATATTTTTCAGATTTGTATAAATATTTTAGAATTAGCCAATGATAACTTAAATTTTTTTCTATGCACGCATGTAAAGTAAAATTTTGTAGTAAAAGATATAAGCTATTTATTAATTGTTTTTAAAAAATAGGAAATTGTTTTTTGACTGTAAAATATATTTGCACTAAGCAGAGGCACTTGTCATTTTATGAAAGAAGTGCAATGATTTGGTTTAAAATATAAAATGTAACATAGTCTTGCATGCAGCAGGTGCAGATTAGTCATTTCACTAAGTATGTAATAAATTTTTACAAGCAATTATGTTATATATATATATATATGTATATTTTGTTGGCAAATTAATGTTTGATTCAGAATCTCTTTAAATATCACTAGCTAAACATTATATTTAAAAAGGGATAATTAACTAAGATGGCATTTTTTGATTTTCTTCTTTAGAATATGAAAGGTCACAATGCTCTGAAATATCCTAAATTGTAATTGCTAATAATTTTTTTTTTTTTTTCCATCGCTATTGCAGAGGAGAAAGGAAAACAAATCAATACTTTGATAGTATTTGTATGTTTAGTCACAGAAATATTTTTAGTTATATAAAACATTATCAGTTATGTAGATTCTGTTAAGTAGAAATTTATTTATATTTGAATTTACTTTATTAATTTCAGTCTGATTTTAGAGCTTTCTTTCTTTCTTTCTTTCTTTTTTTTTTTCAATCCTCTGTCTTTTGGTATATGTGAAATTTTTCTATATGTTTTGTACATGTGAAAAGTAATATCTTACTAATAATTTTATAATGGAAAAAGTTGTACTATATTTTTTATTGCTTAAAAAAATGATACCATATTAAATTCAAATATTGTTAGAGCTTTCGAAGTAACTAATTATATATTTTATTTAAATAATAACAGATAATATATTTGTGCATTTTTTATTCATAGCTGTTTGTTCACAAGCCATGTAGTATTAAAATAAATTTGTAAACTAGTGATCAGTCTGTATTTGTGAATGGTTACAAATCATTTTAGTAGTCTGAGCAAAAAAAGATCAGTAGTATATCTTGATTAGATTTTATTATTTATGTTATTTGTGTTTATTATATGAACCAGTAAACTGATCAATCTGAAAAGTATTGAAGCTTTTTAATAAATCATATATATAAGGAAAATGAGAGGAATATGTGTTGGTATAGTATTAAAATGAAAAATTTTATGTGTTTTAGATAATTATTGAAATTAGTCTTGAAGAATTGTGGAAAGTTGTTTGTGATTTGTTACATATTTGGCATTCTGTTTTTACCAGCTGGGAATTTTTAGCATTTTTAAAACTAATCAGAAGCAGTATTTTATTTGTGTGAGTTTTGAAGCGAGCTCTTAACAAGAATAATATTTTGATTGTTTATTAGTCAAAAATATACAGCTTACTAATATGAAAATTTTATTTAAAAAAAATAGAGAATGTAAGTGTTGTATCACCAGTTCCATTTTAGCTCACACTTGGAAGAGTTATTAAATAATTTTTTGTTAAGTATTGCATTGAAAACATATTTTGATTATATTTCCTCCATTTTTTGCAATACTAATTAAGCCTAATATAAATTTAAAAAGATAGTTATTTATATTGTTTTAAAATTATGAGTTTAGCTTTTATTGAATGCTGTTAATTGTTGCACTAAAGAACAACAATAAGTTGAGTTTGTAGGTTTAGATATAAGCAAGTGGTTTTAAAAAATGTGTTATTTATTGTTATTGTTTTGATGAGCTCCTCTTGTTTATCAGATCTGTTAAATGAAAAATATTTTGCAGTGATGCATTTCAGTCAAGATCATAATCATAGTAAAATTATATTTTTAGTATTTTATAAAATTTATAGCTTTTTTTAATAATTCAGGTATGCATTTTGTATAATAGCAATATTTTTCATTATATTTGCTCAATGAAAGTTGGGTATTGTAATATGAGAGGCATTTTGGTACTCATAGCAAATTAGAAAATATTTAATGAGGAAAAAATTGACAGTAAAATATTCTAACTAAATATCTACAATTTAAATATATGTATACATGTACATGCACATATTATAAACATTCATTTTGCTAGAATGGAAATTTCTACCATGCTGCTTATTATTTCATGATAAAAGATACTTTCTGTTTCCAGAGTCACCAATTATTTCTCAAAAAATGAATGTTTACTCTGAGAATTCTGTTTCACTTTGTCGGTAGCAGTGCCATATTCTTTTGTGGGTTTTAAAATTTCATTAGGTAAACACTATAACTTCTATAATTTATGGCTTTCATGTGCATTTATCTTTTTAATATATTCTCTGCATTAAAATTACTTATTTATGTCTCTGTACTATTTATAATAATTTTATTTTTTTCTAAAAATCATATTAAGTTTCAAAAACTGTTTTCTTATATTATAATGATTTATTATTCATTTAGGTTATGGCATATATTTTATTCAGAGCTTATAAAATACTCATAGGTGCTAAGACAGATCATGCATTTTCTTTTTTAAGTAGTTATAAGTCTTAGTATTAATGCACATTAGTATGCAGTACAATTTAATAATAAAATTTAGATAGAAAAGTTGAGAAAGATACTTTCTGATTGGTCATTTTAAATAGGGTTAAGTGAATACTGGAGTTATACATTTATATTGTGTGAAATTTTCCATAATTTAGTATTTTATTGCTGTGTGTACATTCATTAATTTTAATATATCAGTTTATGTATTAGTAAATATTAGGTAAAGGGTCTACAAATTCAGGAGCTAAAAATTAATGAAAATTTTCTTTTAATACCTGAGCTTTCATAAGTAAGTGCCAGTTATTTTGAACTAGTTTCAGAAAAGAATAAATAAAAATTGTAGACCCTCAGCACTGTAGTGAATTAGAATTCATTTATTTATCTCATTCTATTAATTTGTTTGAGATTTCGTATTTGTTATTTGAAATGTCTTTTTTACCAATAATGGCCCTGCAATTGGAAAATTTTTTAAAATGTACATTTTTGTTCCTTAAGACATAGTTCCTAGTTATGTATTTAATGAGCTGCATAAATATGTAGCAATATTAATAAGTCTGCCATTTTTTCATCATTGATCAACATATGATGATTTTCAGTTTAAATAATTAATAAATAAGTTGAAGATATATGATCATTAGAATTAATTCTAATTGATCATAAAGTTGGGGTACTTTTCACACAGATATTCATCTCATTTTTGTTGTGTCATGTTATTTTAAGAACATTATATATACATATATAATTTTTATCCCTCTTCATATTTTTTTATTTAGTTACTATCTGTTTCTTGTTAAGATACATACTGTATAGATATTGTATGTTATATTTCTCATTTGTTTAAATGAAGGTGCTATTAATGACTGGTAATTTCCCTTATTTGACTATCTCAGGAATATTTTTTATTGTTTATTTATTTTCACAATAAATATTTCATGTTTGTTTTATTTTTTAAATTTTAACTGATGAATAATAGAAAATGGAAATATTATGAGGAACTTTTAAGTGTGTGGTTACTTTTTTTAATTTTTTATTTAAATGATTTTTAGCATTTGTATATTTGAAGCTATGTAATGCTAGTTCATTTTTATAATAAATATTCTTGTTTTTAAAAGTTAAAAAAAATTAACTTGTGACTATTAATCTGATATTAAAATTAGGCAAAAATGCGACCTTAGATTGGTATAGATGTTGAATTTTATTAAAAATCCTTGCGAAACAATTTTTTTGGCCTAGTTTTTAAATTTTGTATTGGTATTTTCTTTTCCAAATATAGTATTAATTTGATGTTAAAAGCATATATATCTATTGAAAAAGTGCACAATTATATCAGTTTATTTTAGAAAGAGTTCATATGAGTTTTTAAAAAAGTGCACAATTATATTATTGGTTTGTAAGAAGCTAATAAATTGTATGTTATTGTATATTGTGTTATATGTCTGTACTGTTAATTGTGCATATTATTTCACTAAAAAGAGAATGCATTTAAGATCTCTCAAATTTGAATGCCAGGAAAGGATTTCCATAATGGCATAAACTATGCTAATAAAGTTGCTGTAATGAATTCCTTTGCATAATAGTAGAACTCTAATTACCTGAGCTCTGGTTATCCAAAATTACAATAATATCAATTATTTGTTATGTCTTAGTCAAATAAAATTCAGTTTGTGATTTACGAATTATTATTTTACAGTTTAATAATTTAATAATGTAATACATATCACTAAGCTGGTACTATTATGTTACATCAATTAAAAAGTTCTGAATTTTATTTTGAATCAAAGTAGGCTATGCAATTTGTTTTACTCCACTAGCAAATAAATTTACTAGTAAATTAGTAAAAGTAAAAATAAGATCATGTTTCAGGGTCTACATAAATAGAAATTAATTTTATCATTTTATTTGAAATGGTAAAATTAATTTCTTTCAAAGGGCAATAAAATATTTCATTATTTAACTTTTATTTTAATTTTTTAAATTTGTATCACAGAAATAAAATTAGTTTCCTCATCCCTTAATTGCATTTCGAATAAAATATAATGAACCAAAAATAAAATTTCACACTGTAGTAAGTACCAGTTATCTTCACCCTCTCCACCCCCAATTCCAAAATAAATGGTAGGCAGGTTTCCAGTTAGTCCAGGTATTTGGGTTCTGCTGCATCCTTTTTTTTATTAGGTCCGGTAAAAAAACCCTCTTTTTTTAACTTGCAAAATATAAGGCAGTTCATTAATGTTCTGTTGCCATTAAGAGGTTATTCCTGGATTCCCAAGGAAGCTGTACTTGTACTTATTATTATGGAGTAAAGCAGTTTTGAGGAATTTTGATTTTAATTTTCATTTCATGATTCTACCTCAGTTCACTCATTGTAAATTTCATCATTTTCTCATATATTAGACTGGATTAAATTTCAGAAAGTAGTAGTTTAAATAAGTTTGTAACAGCCTTTATTATTACACTAAATTAACCTTTATATGAATTTTTATGTTAATTAATTAATTAATTTTTTCCATGTTTCTCTAATTTCCATGTTTCTCTATTTTCCATGTTTCTCTAATCTTTATTATTATTATTAGCTTAGTCATGTATGTGAGCTCCAGTGAAATTTTAATGCATTTTGTTATCATTTTATTGGTCAACTAGCACTCAACTTTATATTTAAACTAGTCATCCTCTGAGTTAATCCAGTCTTTCTTGAGCTGTAACATCAGTATTTAAATAGATGTCTTTTAAAGCTAATATATATGTTAGATTTGTTTAAAAGCTGTGGACACTTGTAAATCTGAAGTTTGTAAGTTTCAGTTTATGCCCTAAAAGCACAAACTGCTAATTTATACTCAACTGTGTTTTAGTAAGTGAATTATTGACAAATATTTTATGTGTGTGTTTATTTTTGACTGATCATTCAGCATTTTTTAAAATTTTAACATCAAATACTCTACTTATTCAAGCTGTTGAATTGCATTGAATATACTATAATTAAGAGTTATGGAGATTTTGGGTGCTGCGCAAGTACATACAATACATATTATTAGTAATGTTGTAAAATGTATTTTCTCAGCATTAAAAGCATTTCATGCTTTTATAAATCTTTATTTTAGCCTTAATTTGATTTCATTACTTCTTTATATTGTGATATTTTGTTCAAGCTGTCATCTTCTTATCAGCAAAATAAGAGACTTAGTAATTCAGTTTGAGGAAAAGGAATAGGTATTATTGAAAAAAATCTTGTACAAAAAATAAGATAAGAATCGCAATATAATTTACTTAATATATTATAAGTTAGAATACATTTTAAGAGAATTTAAAGTATTAAAGGATAATTAAAACGTAATAAAAATTTTAAGAATCTTCATATGGCTGTCTTCCATAGAATTATGTTGAGTATTTCTAGAAATTTGTATTAATAAGTAAAAGTATTAGCAATTTTTTTTTTTCAAATGCAAAAATGCTGCATATTAAATCCAACAGAGAAAGCGAATTTCGGTATGTTGGGAAAATATAGAGTTGGAAAAAATTTTAAATTGAAAGATGTAAAAGTTGATACCCCCCCCATTTTTATGGTTTTATTACTTTAGAAGCTTTAACATGTTATATAAGCTGCTGACATAGGGCATAGATTGTGGATTATTCCAGCCATTATACATGTGCTATTATATATTATATGCATACTCGCAGCAGACATTTTTAATAAATTTCCTAATGATTATTATAATATTTAAATCAAAAGTAAAATAAAATTTAAAAATGAAAGTTTTAAATTGTATATTTAATTCAGTGCATTGAAACTAACTTTTTTTTTTAATTGGTTAAATATTTACATGCAGTATAATCATTTATCTAACAGTTTGGTATTAAAATATTAAATATAAATGAGAATATACTTCATTTTGAGTTAATTACTTTGAAAAAAAGGTAGGAAATTTCAGAATCAAGTTTTAAGATTTACGAAGTGGATTGTAATGTTATTGTTGAGGTTTAGCTGCTTTGTATTATATTTAATTTGGACCATTGTGTAGATTTTAATACTTGAGTATTTTGCTTCTTTTTAATTTCTTTGTGTTAACTTGTTATGTATTCTCTTAAATTAAGAATATTATTTGTGAACAAATCATGTAATTAAGTATTCACATAAGAATTGCATTTATTGTTTAAAATTATATTGCATTGTTTCTGCTAATGTTTTTTTTTTGTAATGTAAAATGAGACTTGTATTTTATATATGTAGTTCTTACACCATTTCTTCTCTCATTTCGTTTATTTGCTGGAAACTTTTTACTGTGCATTTGGAAATGTGTATTAGAAAATATTTAGTTGATTAGATCATTTTAAAATAAATTTGTTTACTAAAAACTTGGGCATTCATTACTTAAATTATGTTACATAAATTGTAAAACTAATTAAAAAATATCTGTTTTTAACTTTTAAATTGTGATATTTATTTTAGTTGATGCCATTTTTAAGAAATATCAGTTGTTATTTCTAATCCTTCTGATCATGGATTAGATACCAGATCAGGTCTACAAATTTTCAATTTTCATGGTAAATACTGTGGGAGACAGATTCTAGCTTTTGCCACCTTTCCCTGTCACCAACCTCTCAAAAGGAAATTTCAAATAATATTTATGATGGTATTTTAAATACCCCCAATCTATAAAAACCCTATATATATGCAAACATCTGTGCCTTCTCCTGGATTTGAACTCAGTGCCATTGCTATGGCAGTCAGCTTTGCCTATCTATAAAATCACGAAGGCACACTTTTAGTTTTTAGAAAGTATTTATTTATAATCTTAGAATGTATTATATTGCGGAGAACTGCAATTTCAGCAAAGTTCTATTTTTATATCTCTATCCAAAGTGTGGCCAGTTACAAGTTACTAAATATAAAATATTGCCATTTACAAATTATTAAATATTACATCTTCCATTTTTTTTGGGGGGGGAATCTAAATTTAGTCCAAATACCTGGCCGGCTTTCTAATCACTCTCCCACTTCTAGTTCTTTGCTCACTGCCCCCGTAGCAGAGTTTGGTAGTTTATCTTCTAAACTTTGCCCTTGAGAATATCTGGGATCATATCCTTTTACATCTGTTTTCTGTGCATTAACTCCTCCTTCTGTTCCTCTGATATTCTCTTCAACAGCCGAACTGTTTTCTTTAGTGTTTCTAATGTCTTTTCTGTTTCTTCTAAATACTGATCCTCCTGATTTCAGTATATATGATTTAGGTGTTTTATATACTTCTTTTACGACTGCTGGTTTTCAGCGATTATCTTGATATACCCTAACACAATCTCCTTTGCTTAACGAGGATAATGTTTTTGTATGACGGTCATAATATGACTTCTGCTTAGTTCTTTCTTGGTTGATTTTTTCTTTTACGTTTTTCATAACTTGAGGATTTAGTAATTCTTTGGATGTAGGAAGAATCGTTCTTGTTCTTCTACTTATAAGTCGCTATGCTGGTGATTGTAACATCTCATTAGTTGGAGTGTTTCTATGAGCTAACAATGCTAAATAAGGATCAGCATGATCTGCTTGAGCTTTATTTAGCAATTTCTTCGTCGTTTGTACTGAGTGCCTGCTAATCCGTTTGACTGTGGATGGTATATCTGCTTGTTCATAAGTGGCCAAAGCAAAACATCTCTAGCTCTGTTCTCTTACATTTTTCTATCCCAAAATGACTCTCATGAATTAAATTCGATATCTCTTTCTGCATAGATAAAGGAATAATTACCCTTCCTGCTATAAAAATGAGTCATTTTCCATTGTCAATTTCATATTTATAGTCCCAAAAGGGCTTTTTCTACTGTTTTTTTTTTTTTTTTTTTTTTTTTTTTTTTTTTTTTTTTTTTTTTTTTTTTTTTTTTACATTCCTTTTCTTCAGTTCATAAATTTTGTCATCAGATGCTGAAATCAGCATATAAATTTCTGTATGTTCATCATTATCTTCATCTGTCGTATTCAAATATTTTCTACTTAATGTATCTGCTGTGAATAAGTCTTTCTCCTTTATGTATTGTACATCTAGATCATATTTTTGTAAATTTAACAGCATTTTTTGCAATCGTTGTGGTGCTTTAAAAAGAGGTTTCTTAGTTATGCTTTCTAATGATTGATGATCAGCTTCAACTGTAATATGTTTGCCATATATATATGATGAAATTTAGAACATCCAAAAGTAATAGCTAAAAGATCTTTTTCTATCTGAGCATAATTTTTCTGACTTTTCGTTAGAGCTCAAAGCATAATCAGTTGGTTGATTTTCTTGCAGTAAAACAGCACTTAATCTTTCAGAACATGCATCTACTGAAAGAGTTACATCCTTATTAACATCATAGAATTTTAATATGGGTGCTTTTACAACCAATTCTTTAAGTGTTTCGAAAGCTTTTTGATTTTTTTCAGTACGTGCCAGAGAACACTTTTCTCAAGTAACTGTCCTAATGATGCACTAGTAGTAGTTAAGTTATGAATAAATTTGGCTAAGTAATTAATCATTCCTAAAAATCTCTGTAGAGAAGGCACATCTGTAGGTTCTCGCATTTAAACAGTTGCTTCCACTTTAGAAAAACCAGGTTTTAATCAGTTTTAAGTCATGCCCTATATAATTCATTAACTTTTATTTTACCTTTAGCCTTATTGAACTTCAGATTATTTTCTCGTGCTCTTTGGAAAGTATACCTTTTTAAGTCGTACCTCATGTTCCTTTTCATTATATTCCCATATTAAGATATCTATTATACGTTCAACGCCTTCTAGACCTTTGCATTATTTGGTTTAATTTTCTTTGTCAAATTTCTGGAGCCAAAAAGTGTATTGAATGTACATAAATTACTACTTTCTTCGTCAAGCTGGTTTTGCCAAAAAGCACTATTAGCATTTAAAACGGAAAATATTTTTGCTTTCGGCATCCTAGTGACAACTTCGTCTGTGGTTAACATAGGATAATGTTCTCGTTTTATAGCTTTATTTAAATCTCCAGGATCTAAACATTTTGCTTACGTTTGACTGCTGTGACCATTGAATTTACCAATTCAGTTGGTTCTCTTACTTTCTCAATAACATTTAAATTTTTAATTCTTTGTAATTCTTTCTGCACTTTATCTCGTATAGCTATGGGTATTTTTCTTGGAGGATGAATGTTTCATCTTGTTTTAACTGGACATTGTATTTTCCACTCAAAAAAAAAAAAAAAAAAACGAAGCCTTCAAATACATTTTTTCCAATAAGTCTTTAGTATAAAAAGACATTGTTGTCAGAATAGTTGTAAAATAGTTGTAGAATTATCAACAATTTAAATGTTTTAGTGCCAGTAAGTTTAACGAAGCAGCCATTTGTTTACATTTGAAACTCTTAGTAGAATAGTGAATTAAGTCAGTTTCTGCATTTTCAGTGTCATTCTCTCCAGTGGGACCGAAAGTAAACTTTTAGTTTTGTTCACGGAAAAATTGTCCTCCTTGCCTGCTGCTGGCCGAATTGCTTATTTTTGCGTAGAACTTTAAATTTAATCGTAATTTTTTTTAAACTGTTTTGACTGTATTTGGTGCTTTATGTTTTTCTCTATTTTACAATTTTTAATTAATATATTTTGAGTTTTTGTGTATTTTTGCCTTGCCGTAAAGTGAGAACTGAATTAATTGAATGAGAAATATACCTCTAATGAAATTCGAAGTAATAAGTTTAAAGGAAATGCAGTAAAAAATGTGCGTAGTTTAATAGGGCGTACAAGGAAGTCATGGTGTCCACATGAGACTTTTTTCTTTTTTAATTTAATAGCGGTTCGGCTATATTAACAAAATCTTTGATAAAAGGAGCACGCCCAAATGATGCCAACATTTTTTTGCCATATTAGGTGAGGGGGTAAGTTTTGATTGCTACACCAAATACTCTACAGCGTTTAGTTTTTTCTGAAAAATTTTCTGTCTAGAAACTACTTTGCCCGCTGTATCCATGGATCATTTTTATGATAAATTTTTTATTAACCCCTTTTTTAGTTGAATCCGAGAGGGGGTTTATTCCGGGGTGACTGTACCGTCTGTATTTCAGTACCTCTGATTAGTTTAAATTCTTAATGCCCTCCCACTATTTCTTCTTTTGTGATTTAGTATTTCGGCAGTCGCCATTAGCGCTTGAAAATTTCTTCCAGTTAATCATAATGTCTAGTATGTAGTCCCCATAGTATATATAATATAAATAATTTACTAAGACCATGGTCCTGTGTATATATAAATTTACAATTTAATGGATTTATTTATTGATTTAGTATTGGACGTGTTGCGTGCCATTTATTGGAATTATTATTTAGCACTGCATTGATATGCCTTAATTGTAAGTGTAGAAGTTTTAAGTTATACGTATTTTGGTCCAGGGATTACATTTTGGGAAGGGGCAATGCTTCGAATTTTGTTTATATGAAAATAATTGTAGTGAAATTATATGTAAATTGTAATAGCTCTTGCATAATATAACAACAAAGGCCTCAAAAGTGTGAATTGTCGCGGAAAAATTGGATTACAGGGCAAGTCCGTTTAATATTGAGGTAAACGGTAGGCAGTGCCAAGCTGGCTGTGGTTTTGGCAACTAATTCTGGTCGCCAAATTTAATGAGAAATCGTCAAGTGTCGCAAACCTTGGCAATCGTTTGTTGAAATTTTTTTTTATACTTATGTAATTGTAAATGCTCCGGAAATGGAAGGTAGTGGAAATTCTCGCCGGACGGGGAAAAGCTATGTAAGACCGGAGAGAGAATTAATTTAGTTTAGTTCAGAATATTAAGAGTATTGAGGGAGCACTGTGCTAAGTTACGCATTCGAGGTCTTTTATATGTTCTTCTGTTTAAACTTCTTAATGGTATGAAGTGGTAACTAGTGATTGTGATCTCCCATATAAGAGTAAGAACTGTACGAGTGCTTTTGCGAAGAATGTAAAGTATTCCAGAACTGTAAAGTATTTTTTTTTTTTTTTTCCCCAAGCCATTATCGTTTCTGTGTGCATTTAGTCCATGACGAACCCGTGCATGTGTAATGGTACTTTTAATGCTATGTTTCATTGTCACATTTAGTAAGAATGGACCAGTGGCGTATAGCTAGGGTGGAGCAAAGGGGGACATCTGTCCCCGGGTGCAGCATCCAGGGGGCGCCAAATTGATGATACACATTGCGGAATGAAATGTTTTCCATTCTTGGAACACAGAAAGGGGCGCAAAATCTTTAGGTGTTCCCGGGTACTTAAAACCTTAGCTACGCCTCTGGAATGGACTCGATCTTATCCCAAAATTCATTCGTAAAATTTCTGATTCTATACTTGTGTCATTCTTAATCCTAAGAAATCTGACAGCGTTTCTTTCATTC